CTACTTGTTATGAATGGTAATGCAAATATCTTTTGAGATAGAGGTTTGCTGATGGGACCACAACCCACAGATTAAGAACCACTGCTAGGAGGTGGTCCTGAGCCTGCACAAGTCCCCCAAACAGATGTGACTGTGTCAAGGCCATCATAGATGCCTCCATCCTCCCAGGGGTTCATCTTCCACTGACCCCCAGGTGTGCTGATCCCCTTTTATGAATAGTTCACAGAAATGCCCCTGTGATGCCTCCTCCTTTGTGGCATTTGAAGTTGCAAGCCTCCATCATAAGTTCTGGTCCACCTTTTTCTTAGGATCAGGAGTAAGAATGGCTGTTTAGCTGTGCTCCTTGCCCACAGCTTGGCCCCTGGCTGCTCCAGGACTAACACCTGCCTGGTATCCCGTGAGAGGCAGCTTCAGCAGCCTGCTCCTCTAATCAGCTTATGACTAAGACCTGGTACATTCAAAAAAGGTTCCCGTTGTGCGGCCGAGCCATTGGCCAGTTGCTCCTTTGCAATGTTGTTCCCCGTGGGGACAGTGAAAATTCAGACCCGGAGTATTCTGACAGGTAGGAGTCAGTACAGCTGACAAGAATTCAAGGCTTTGGTTTAGTGAAAATTACTGACGGGAAGAAAGCATACATTTATAAGATTTTTAAGGGTTTATTTCTATTTTATGTGTATGGGTGTTTTGCCTGTATGTATGTCTGTGTTCCAAGTACATGCCTGGTTTGAGCAGGGGCCAGAAGGACATATTTGACCCTCTGGAACTGGGGTTACAAATGGTTGTGAGCTGCCATGTAGGTGCTGGGAATCAAACCCAGGTCCTCTGGAAGAGCAACCAGTGCTCTTACCAGCTGCGCTATCTCTCCAGTCTCTGTTCATAAGTTTTAACGTTACATTCTAACCTTATGTCTTACAAGGTAGCCTGACCAAGCCCTCTCTGTCTCCCCCCCACCTTTCAGGAGGGTGTTAAGTACCCTAGGCTGACTTAGAACTCATTGTGTGGCCAAAGGACACCTTGAACTTCTGACCCTCTTGCTTCTGCTTCTACTGAGATTGCAGGCGTGTGCCACCTCAGGAAGTGTGTGGTGCTGGGGCTTGAACCCAAGACCTCACAAGCACTCTACCTGCTGAGCTACATCCCCGGCCCCATGCAGATCTCTTCTGATTCCTTGTATTCCAGTCCTCTCACTGAGGATACTGATCATAAAACTCAGTCTGTCGTGGCCTGCTAGACTCAGGATGGCCCTGCCTCCTGTTTTCTTTCTATTGCTATTTATTTACTTGGTGTTCGTGTGCACGTGTAAAGGTCAGGGGGCAACTTTCTGGGAGCAAACTCAGGTCCTCATAGTTGGTGGGAGCAAGCGCCTTTGCCCGCTCAGCCGTCTCGCTGGCCTCACATCTCCATTCTCCAGCTGCTTGCTCACACCAGATCCTCTTGTGGTTCTGCAATTTGCCAAGCTGCCCTTGGTGTCCGAGCTGTGCGGTTCCTTCTACCTGAAAGGCACTCACTCCCTGCCGTAGCTCTTTGCAAGGCCGATTCTTCCTCCTCATTTTGGTCTCAGAAAACATCATATTTGCAGACAGACTTCCCCGCTACCTTTATAGGCAGAGAAACCTCTCCCTTTAGCTAGAACCCTCATCTGAGCCACCAAATAAGAAAAAGAAATAGGTTGAGTAACTGCTTTTCCATTCCTTCAAGGACTGCTGTAGCAACTCCCATCAGCCTTGCTGCAGCCTAGAGGAATGGGTGCCCAGGGCATCGGGGGTGAATTCTTCCCTTTAATCCGCTGTGTCCCCTGGCTTGTTTCCTTCAAAGTGCAGATCTGGCAAATAATTTCTCTCCTGTCACATCACTGTGGAAGATGTCTTCCAGGATGGCTGGGAGTCTGCTGTCCGTTGGGCAGCCTGAATCCCAGATGCCCAGCACAGCCCCATTCTAGGTCAGGGGTGCAGCAAGTTCCCCTTGATGAGAGGGAAAGTTGCCATGAACTGTGTTTCAATATTCTCAGCCTCTTATCCAAAGGATTGGAAGCAAGGGTTCACACAGATTTGCAAAAGAAGCAAGAGAACTTTATTCGGAGCCAAGTAAGAGTAGAGATTAGAGAGGGATCTGCTCCCAGGATTGTCAGTGGTTCCCAGGACAGAGAGTCCCCCAGGGTCCCAGGCAGTAGCTGATCTCTCTACATGGCCTAAAGGAAGGAGTGTCTGGTCACCAAAGGGTGTATTTTGGGTGGTTCTCTATTTTGACTGATGGATTAGATCATACACTCATTTTTCTTTCTGTGCCTGTCTGGCTCTTTCTGGAATGCATCTGATTCTAATCATATGCATACTCAATTATTCAGAAACACAAGTTAGTAAATAGGAGATTCTCTCTAAAAGGGAGGACATTACTTTGCCTTACTGGAAACACATACAAACCCAGTTCAGGCCAGATCAGTCAACCCCTTTTTTCTTCTTTATAAGTGGATATGTTGGGAATACACTTGAATGGAAACTATTTGATTGTTAGGAGTTCCAGGCCTGGAAATGTGTACTATTGTTGAGAGATGGAAGCAGGTGTGCGTTATTACAGAGGGTGACATGGAGCCCCAAACTAAAGTGAGTCTTGGGTCACTAAACTCTTCCTACCTTTGCCTGCCTCAGAAGAGTGTTGTTATTCAGCCTTAGATGACTTAGATCTTGGTGACATACTCAGGCAATTAGTCTCAAACCTCAGCGGACCAACCAAAGAACCGATCCCTGAGAGCCAATAGCCTGGATATCAGGAACTGGGTCTTAGGTGAAAGGCAAATGTTTAGATTAGGGACTGGAGAGACGGCTCAGAGGGAAAGACCCTTGCTGTCAAGCCTGATAGTCACACGGTAGAAGGAGAGCATTGAGTCTCGGAAGTTGCCCTCTGACCCCCTCATGAGACCCTGCCTGCAGTGTCTCCATTCCAGTAAATAAATAAATAAATAAATCTTTTTTTTTTTTTTTTTTTTTGGTTTTTCGAGACAGGGTTTCTCTGTAGCTTTGGAGGCTGTCCTGGAACTCACTTTGTAGACCAGGCTGGCCTCGAACTCACAGAGATCCGCCTGCCTCTGCCTCCCGAGTGCTGGGATTAAAGGCGTGCGCCACCAACGCCCGGCTTAAATAAATAAATCTTAAAAAGAGAAAAGTTTAGATACAGCTGAGTTAAGACATTGCAATGTTCTACTTTCAAAATGAAATCTTTGCTTTTAGTTCATTTGGCTTTCATAAGGAATACATGGCTCCAAGCCACATTAGGAAAGTGCATACACAGAAAACAGAATTGTGTCAGTCAGTGACAAATATTGTCAGAATTGTGTCAGTCAGTGACAAATATTGTCAGAATTGTGTCAGTCAGTGACAAATATTGTCAGAATTGTGTCAGTCAGTGACAAATATTGTCAGAATTGTGTCAGTCAGTGACAAATATTGTCAGCCAGGCATCATGGTGCACGCTTTTAACCCCAGCACTCTGGAGGCAGAGGCAGGTAGACCTCTGGGAGTTCGAGGCCAGCCTGGTCTACAGAGTGAGTTCTAGGACACCAAGAACCACCAAATAGAGAGACCCTGAAAGCGTGACAGCTATTATCGTTCTAGGTGATAGATTTTTCTGTGTTACTTGAGAATGGAGAGAAGGCTCATTGTTTCACAGGCAACTGAAGCATTTGCTAAGTTTTTAAACAAAAATCTGGAATATTTACATTTTACTACAAAGATTTCTTCCCTCAGTGTTCAGATTGCAAAGGAGGATAATCATATAGGTGACCCAGCAATTTCATGTCTATATGTGCTCCAAAGAACTGGACGCAGTGACTGCAGTAGATATGTGTACTCTTTTGTCATAGCCTTATTCACAAGAGCCAGAAGGGCAGCTCCACTGAAACGCCACTACAGGGCGAATGCATACACAGAACGTAGTCTATTTAGGCGATGCGATGCATTCAGCAGTAAAAAGGAAGGGAACGCTGACACACAGGACAACACAGATGAAACTTAGGATAACCCAGACACCAAAAGGGCAAGAAGTATCATGGATTCCATTTGGTGTCCAGAGTAGAGGAATTCTGAAGGACATGGGAGAAGAGGGATTGCCGGGGCTAGGAAGTGGGAAGTTCCAGAATGATGGGAGCAGAGCAGTTGCAGTTTGGGAGGCTTTGAAGGTCCTGGTGATTGACAGCATGATTGATGGCTGCATGGCAATGTGGGTGTACTACTGCCGATGAGCTGCACGGTTAAACATGATCCAAACGACACAGTTTATGCTACGTCTACTTTACTATGATCTTTTAGGAATAGAGGTATCGAGGAACAATATCGCTAATGAAAAGTTTGAAATAAAGGTATATCTTTGCTCTGTGTGCATAGTGATAGAAGATGCCTGCGTTCTTCAAATCTGCTAGGTAGCTCGCTGCATTGACCGCGGAGCCCGGCAATCGCAGCAGCACCTCCAAGCACTTGTGGTCTTTAACAAGCAGAAATCCTGCGGGGACTGAGAGACTGAGGCGTCGGGTTCCTGTATTCTGTGATTCCTTGCTTTTAAATTCTCAAAACAGTTCTGCAAGACTTTGCTCTGGAGGGCAAAAAAATAAAAATAAATAAATAAAAATAGATGGGAGGAGGGGAGAGACCTGGGGGTGCACCCTCTGCAACCCCGCACTTGGGGGGCTGGAGGATGATCAAAGGTTCGAGGCCAGCCTCCACCACGGAGTACGTTCACCGCGCAGAGGAGAATTTGAGTTTTCTAGGTTGGCGGTGGCGCGGGAGCAGGGGGTCGGGGGGGTGTGGATCCTAGCCCGAGCAATGCACGGCCAGTGCCTCAGTTTCCCGGAGAGGCCCTAGGAGCGCGAGCCCTGACGTGGCGGGGCGGGCGGGCTGGGCGGCCGCCAGGGGGCGCGAGCGCGGGAAGCAGAGCCCGGAGCCGCGGGGCGGAAGCGGCGCGGAGGGAGGCGGGGCGGCGCGGAGTCACCCGGATCGGCCCGCCCGCCCGCCCGCCGCCGCGAGGGGAGGTGACCGCGGCCCTCCCGGGCCACCAGTGGCGGTGCGCGGAGGGAACGCCGGGCGTAGAGAGCAGGTCTGTGCTGGGCCGGGCGCTGGCGGGGTGGCGGGGTGGCGGGGACGGTCGCCTGCGGGGCTCGCTGCGCTGCTCCGGGTCGCAGAGCGCTCAGCGGGACGTGAGGCTGGGACGCCACGGGCCCTCGCTGTCCTCACGCACGGCCGCGGGGTGCAGGGGGCTCCCGCAGCCCTAGAGGCCGTCCCCGGGCGCGGGCGCGGGGACGAGGTATCCAGCCGAGGCGCTGTCACTGCGCCGCCCTGCCGCTCGGCTCGAAGAACTCAGCCCCAGTCCTGTCCCTTGTCGCTGCTGTCTGTGGCCATGCGAGGCCGGGATTCCGTGACAGGCAGGCGGGAGTGGTTCCCCAAGCAAGCCTGTAGGACTGTTTAGCTGGAGGTGCAGCTTTGGCTTAGCGGAGTTTTTAGGTACCCAGGACGCCCGCACTACTGCCAGGCATCCGTGTGTCAAAGGAGGGTCGTGCTGTCTGTCACTCGAATAAGGAACATTGGGCTGACCAAACAGGCCGGCGTCTGATGTGTGTTAAGAACCGCGAAGAGTGTTTGGGACACAGGGTTGAGTGTAAAGGCCAACTTGAAAAGCAACGTTGAGTGCAGAGCAATGTGGTGGTAAAAGTTTCTGTACTCTTGTAAACTAGCCTGCCTTCAGGTCTGCCTTACAGCAATCCTTTTACAGTCATCGAAGCACCTCGTGAATCTTCCTAATTAGCAATGGTGTGGTATGTGACAAGCTAGGATGACTCTGACACTCGGGTTGGAGCATAGTTTAGACTCCACCTTACTTAGTCGAGTTACACGACGCTGGTAGAGCTGATAAATCCACAGGCGACTTTTGCGACACACAGACCTAACTTCTCTGTGAGGGATGCATTTATATACAGCAGATGAGCTCTAATGTGCAAGTTAGTGTATCATCAGGACTCATTCCTCTAAACTACTGAATGACCGGCTCTCTCCGGCCCTCTTCCACTGCGAAAGGCTTTAAGTTGTGCGTTAACTTGAGACAGACCCACTCCTGGTGACATCAAATACAGTTTTGAGGGGGAAAATTAATTTAACGTATTGTATAGCGCATCTTCAATTTCATTATTACTCCCAACTCCCCCACTCACATTATGAGTATTGGGCTAAAATCAGTGAAACCCGGTGGGTTTTCTCCCCCATTGCTCATGCTTCTGTGTTGGAGTCTAGAAATGAGTGCTTGGTGTGTGGTGCAGAACTACTAAGTCCGGCACGGGAACGGGGTACATGTTGTCACAGGTCATTTTTCCAATAAGCTGAGCACATTCTGACTCAAACTGATAACCTTTGTGCCGCATTCTCATTGTGCGTGTTTTGGCTGACATCTGATAGTAATCTTTATAGACGCTGTTCAAATATGTATGAGTTATTTGTCTTTTGACCCACAAAATAGGGCCTCCCAACCTTCCCATCACCTCCTCTTTCCTGGCCCTGTTCTCTGAGTACCCCGTTGGCCTGCAGAGACCCCTCTGCACACCCCCCTTCATCCACGTGGCAGGCCAGGGCCTCGTTCAGAGTGCCCACTGAGCTCACACAGCTTTCTCTCCTACAGGGCAGGGAAAGTCCTGGGTCCCGAGACACCATTTAAGATCTAAACACTAATGAGAGCTGCCAAAGGGCGGAGCAGACTACATTTGGACATTTAATCCCCACGTGTGTGGATTATCATAAGGGATGTCTACACAGCAGAGCCCTTCCTCTGCCTTAGAAGGAAACCCTTTCTACATGGTGCATTCCAGTGCTTCAAATTCATCATTGTTCCAGCCCTCGGGGTCACTTCGATCTCTACTGGGCTAAAATAAGTGCAAAGTAATATTTTAAGCTACAGATCGCTTAGTCAAATGGAGGGGGCAGGTTTTAAAAAATGACTCAGAGTACAAGTGGAGGCTTGCCACGTATTGGCAGGTACAAAGCTTGGCTTATTTTTCCAGGGTTATTCTCCTATGCTTTGGGACAGAATACAAGTCAGTTAACATCTTACCTATGTCACCATTACAGGATCGACTGTGAAATTCTCGAGCATTGTTTTTTGGTAAATCTTTCGTAAAATTCATTCAGAATACATCTCAAAAGTTCCACACCAGTGAATATGGAATACTTTCTTATTAGATCCAGCTATGAAGGCATCTGAATTAAATAATTTCAAGACTGGCTAACTCAGTCTTCTTGTTGGGAGTTCATTATGAGGTAGCCTCTTGCCTGGAAAGCAGGGAGATGGAAAAGTCCCAGCCATAGCCAGCAGCCCACCCCCACCCCATGAAAGAGCTATTATTCACACGCGGCGCAAGCTTTTGTTTAAGTGGTTGATCCTTGGTGTTAAAAAGAAAGCCTCGCTGCCTGGTGTGGTGTGTGGTGGCTCACCACTTTAATCCTCAGGTGGATCTCTGTGAGTTCAAGGCCACCCTCTACATAGTGAGTTTCAGGCCAGTAAAGGCTACACAGTGAGACCTTGTCTTTAAAAAAAAAAGCCACAAAGAAGAAGGAGGCAGAGCAGACAGTGAGTTATTTCATCTTTGTCATCTTTGGATTTGTAAGTCTTTTCTGCAGTCTGAAGACAGGTGGCTACCTGGAACTGACAGAGTACAATGAAGGTGTTGCACAGAGAGTTTAAGTCTGAGGGTTGTGTTTCACTCATTCATTCATTTGTCGGCAAATATTGTTTGAGAACGTGCATGAGCCAGTCATTATCACAGGAGTCAGGGAGGAAGTGTTGGCAGAGTGGGCAAAGGCCGGGAGAAATCAGACTCTGAGAGAGGCCCTGAGAGACCGTGGTATAAGCAAGCATAGCCGTCCTAGAATATGTCCTAAGCAGTGCAGATAGGAAAGTGGGGCGGGGTGTTGGTCGCTCTTTTTGTACAGAGCCTCGTTGGGAGAAGGCCATCCCTGATCTCTGGCTTGACTGAGAGAATAGGAGGCAGACGCTGGAGCAGGAGCATGCTGGGTAGGTGGGGGGACCGACAGGGTGGTGGGAGGCCAGGTGGGCAGATGTGCTCGAGTGGCCGATTGAGAGGCGTGGGCGGGAAAGGGCAGCTCAGGAAGGCGCTGTAAAAACCCAGCTTCGACTCTGAGTGTGGGGACCTGTACAGGGCTGTTCTCTGTCGATTGAAAAATGGTGAGAGTAGATGCTGGGTAGGGGGGAGTGTGGGGGCCTTCCTTTTTATAGCAGTTGTGTGGTCCTAAATCAGAGTTCTTCTCTGGGCTTTCACTTCCTCCTCTGCCGGACAATGGGGTCCCCTGTAGCCCAAGGGTTTTAGCATTTTAGGTCATGTGGGAGGCCAGGAGAGCGTGCAGGATGCAGGATGCAGGATGCAGGATGCAGGATGCAGGATGCAGGATGCTCTCAACGTAATAGCTACAGATGACCTGAAAACTTGACACCAACACACCGGGAGCCAAATCACCCCAAATTCAGAGAGACTGGGTCAGGCCACAAGAACGAAAACCTAAGCTGGGCATAGTGGCACACGCCCGCCTTTAATCCCAGTGCTGGGAGGCAAAAAGAGGTAGAGCTAAGAGTTCGAGGCCGCCTGGTCTGTGTTGTGAGTTCCAGGCTGGCCAGGGCTATGTAGTTAAACCCTGTCTCAAAAAACAAAAACAAACAAACAAAAACAAAACAACAACAACAAAAAACAAAACCAAAAAGTTTCTTTGAATATTCCCTGCTCATCACTTTCAGAATTTTCTGATCTCTAATTTTTCCCTTCCTGCTTGAAACGGGACCAAAAGCTGTCATTCGTCCTGTCAGAGCAGCAGCTTTTGTTGACAGGAAAATCTGGGACTTTCGAGAAGGACACAGCCCTAATTTTTGTCCATCACAGGCCATTTGAGTTTTGTTGCTGTTTTTTGTTTGTTTTTCGAAACAGGGTTTCTCTGTATTGTTTTGGATGCTGTCCTAGAACTCACTCTGTAGACCAGGCTGGCCTCGAACTCACAGAGATCCACCTGCCTCTGCCTCTGCAGTGCTGAGATTAAAGGCGTGGGCCACCATGCCTAGCCCCCAGTTGAGTTGTTTTATCACAATCTAAAAGATTTCTTTTGTTTTCAGTCTTGTTATTCCACTCACCTGCCCCCATGTGTTCTCTGGAAAAACTTTAAAGATTTACTTATTTTATATATGTGAGTATTTTACCTGCATGTGTACATGTGTACTGCCTGCATACCCAGTGCCAGATCCCATGGAACTTGTTAAAGATGGTGTGACCCACCACGTGGGTGCTAGGAATTAAGCCCAGGCCCTGAGGAGCAGCAAGTGCTGTAAACCACTGAGCCAGCAGCTAGCTGCCTCGCCCCTCCTCCCGGGCGCTCTTTTCAGTGCGGCTCACTGTGTTTTGCTTGAGTGGGATTTTGTGCTCTATGTGTTTTAACCTTAGTGCTGCGACTCTTCCTTTTCCCTGAGCGCTGTTGGGGTGTATGCTCCTGCTTCACATGCCACAGTTGCCTGTTCTCTGCGTGACAGGTGAACGCTCAGCGTGACTGCTCCCCCGCAACACCACAAATAATTACAGCCGTGAACGCCTTCTCCTAGTGTGTGCTTACAAAGCCGTGTAACCTTCCTGAGGGCTGCGGGCTTAGAAGGACACTGTTGCGACTGAGTAAATGATCCCAGGCTCATTTCTGCAATAGTGTCCCCATCTCTGTCCTGCCAGAGGTACCCTGCAGTCAGCCTTGTGCACTCTTTTCTGATCTTGTAAGTGCAAAGTGACTGCTTGTTGTTTTAGTTTGGGTCTTTGTATTACTAGTGATTTTGAGCATCTCTTAGACACGCAGCTTCCTGTAAATCCGAGCCCTTTCTGTGTCGTTCATTGATGTGTGGTGTCATGGTGTGCAGAGTTGATGCAATGGAGATACTCATGGACACGGTTACGCTTTGCCGCTGTCTTTCTTTGGTCAAGATAAATCCTTAATTTTATCAAATAAGCTATTTAACCTAGGTCTATGCATCTCAGATGAAAACAAAAACAAAAAAACCCAAAACCCATCCTG